TCGTAGAGAAATGTTTTTGTAATTGTTGTTGTAATTGAAGATCCGTCATCGAGGCATCAAAGGTGTACTATCGGTGGATCCGGCGCTTGACGAACGAAGGCAATGGGCCGCAGAGAACGGTATTAAGGACTCGAATTCAGCAACAAACAAAATGAACGACTTGGCCGTTGTGTTTAGACCATCGCAGGTGCTGTGATGTTTAGAGCATTGAGCAGATTTGCTTTTTTCATCTGTAATTTGGTCTTTTTTGGGGTGATGATAGCTTTGATGAGAATCAAAATTAGTGGATAGGAGTGAAACAGAAGATGAATTCATTCATGTTGCTTCAACTTCATGAACTTCGCGGGAATCGATGAAGTTTATGGTGTGTGCTAAATTGCCCGTCAGGAAATTTTGAACGATGATTCCGATTGAGTGATGGGGCATTTTCAGGATAAATTTAGAGCGCCTAGGAGTGGTACGATCGAAATAGTGAAGTATTCGAGTCCAACGCCCGTATCGTTGAATCGGCCAATGATATCGATCCTTGATCAAGTTAGTTCGGAAATTGCTTTTAAAAATTAAGTTGAAGTACTTTTGAGTAAAGAAGTTTCAGAAATACACTTGATGAAGTTATATTTTGATGAATTATAATTGAGTACGTATTAAGGTAAGTGGTATGCAAGGACATACGGTCCATGTGATGGTCACCGAGCGAATCCATGAATTATTGGATGCCCAGTTGACAGAACTGGCTGAAGTGTTTTTGGATGAGGATCGGTGAGTTCATTCAATGTTTCGATAAATTTTATCTTAATCTTGAATTTGTTACACCTGAAAAGTATTCATGTGGTTTTGCTTATTATCTGGAAGTAGTGGCAGCTGTTACGTAAAACAGTTTTAGTTACGGTTGCATGTTCGTATCTAGGATAGTGTGTAAAGTATGAGCGCACTTCATAATATGAAGATTATTTGGTGAGAAGTTTAGATGTCGCGATAAATTGAACGAATTACCACGGCTGATGAACGTCGATCGACTGTCGCTAGTGCGCGGTTTCGCACTAACTCAAGAGCCATTCTTCAGAAGTCTTCTCCGAGCTAGCGTAAAGTACATGTTAAGTATGTTTTCAAGTTATCTTTTAGTTTGTTTCCTTTGAAGTGAAATTTTTTGCCACTTTTTTCCGTGTATTCTATTGTTTGATAATCGGTCGTATAGGTGAGTTCGTATTTATTTGACTGGAACGTAATGTTGATCGAAAAAGATTGTAAGAGTTCATAGAGATTTGGACTTCGAGATACAAGCAGTGCCTTGTGTAGGATGAAGGTTTTGGCGACAAATTTCTCAACGTATTCATGAGATTTTTCGATCCGAGCGTTTTGTAGAGAAGCAACTGGCCAAGGAACAGATCATGATCCCACCACATTTGGGACGTTCAATGTTTGGCGTGATGGACGAGACAGGCCAACTGCAAAGTGGTCAGATTTTTGTGCAGTACACGAATAATGTTTGGTTGAAAACACCGTCGAGTAAAGCGGCGAAAACGATTTTGAAAGGTTGGTTGAAGATATTTGCTAGTTTGATTTGAGATTCGTCACAGAAGATTTGTTCAATTTTTTGACTCTGTAAAAAAGTGTGTGATAATATTTTGTTGTGGAGGAAATGCACAAAACGTTTATAGAGTCTGTTGTCTGTGATGGTTTTGGTTGTAAACTTGAAAAGAGTTGAAAATTTATTCTACTGGGGTTGTTGACTTGAAATTGCAGGTCCAGTTTTGATGACAAAGAATCCGTGTATAGTGGCCGGAGATGTTCGAATATTCGAAGCAGTTGACATTCCCGAACTGCATCATCTCGTTGATGTGGTCGTCTTTCCGCAGTATGGTCCAAGACCGCATACGGATGAAATGGCCGGTTTGTGCTGTTGACTTTTTCGCTTTTGCTTTGTTTCGGTTCCGAAGAAACAGTCGTGCCAGTCTATTGGATCCAGGGAACTTCCAGGGAAGTTTAGTACAGATGAGTTGTTTGTTTGTCGTAATGGAGAGGATCGAGGTTCTCATCATAATTTCTGAACACTGAAAGAATTAGCCATGATTCTTTTTAGCGGCGAGCGATTCGATTGATTCATTTATGTGTAGAATGTATGTGACAGTTTTGTTTGTGTTTGAAGGATCCGATTTGGATGGTGACGAATACACGGTGATATGGGATAAGAAGTTGATGTTTGTTCGAAATGAGAGTCCGTTGGATTTTACGAAGAGAGTGAAAAAATATGAAGTAGTTGATCAAGATCACGTGGTTGGTTTTCGTCCTTCGTTTGTTTTCGTCTGTTCACTTATACTCGTTTGGTTTTATGTATATCTCAGAAGTTTTTTTGTGGATATGTCTTAACGTTTGCGTTCGGAATTTTCGGTTTTTCATTGCCTTTATAGGATTTCGAGATGCGGAAGTTTTTCTGCAATTACATAAAGCAAGATTCGATTGGGTCAATCGCAAACGCGTTCCTGGTGAATGCGGATTTGTATGGGATAACGAGTGAAGTGAGTGAAGTGACTTTGTTAAATGAGTTGTTATTCGGTCGTTTAGTTGTTTAGTGCTTATCGAATTACATTATCATAGAAGAGGTTCGCAAGGTTTTGACTGAGTATATGGTTTTTTTGGTATACATTGGTGAGTGAAAAATCAGGACAATTTTTGCCATAATATATGGTACAGTTAGATTTGTCAGCCTATCCTGTGAAGTTGTGTGATTGTAGTTTATACCGGTTTATGTGCTTGGCGAAAGCCTTAGCTTATGCATTCCACAATTTGGCAATGGCAATTACACTGTTTATTTGATTTTATTTGACGTTCATCGCACGGTTTTGCATTCATTTTGTGAATTCACTCAGATTTGTGTGAATATCGCTCGAAAGCATTCGCAAGCAGTGGATTTCCCGAAAACTGGCGACGCTCCTGAGCCACTAACAAAAGTGTGGACGGAAGGCGCCAGTGGAAGTTTGGTACCACCAGAGCGGTCGGAGAGATGGCCAGATTTTATGTGTAAAAATCATGAGCCAAACTATATATCGCCACGTCTTGTCGGACAACTTTATAGGTGGGTGCTTCTTGATTTAGAGGAATATCTTTGATCTATTAGTCGCTGGCTTCATCATTTTTGAAAAATATCGCATGGTATTCGAAACTTGGCTTAGGTTTTTTTTTTAATTTTTGGGATTTGAAAATAATTTTGCCAATATCTGATTGTGTGATTGCAGTCTCGCTACATGTTTTTCTACGGGAAGCGCTTTCAATGTTTGTGAACGAAATTGCGCTCAGGGATTTTGCTTAGATTATACGGCAAACAGATTGAT